AAAAAAACAAATACCATATGTTCTCATTTGTAGAAGCACAAAAGATTAATCTCACAGAAGTAGAAAAAGGTAGGAAGAAGGGGAAAGAATAATGGTAAAAAGAGAGAGGTTTGGCTATACTTGAGTCATAATTCTAATGTTCTTTTACATAGTAGAATAAGTAACATTGACAACAGTTAATTGCATATTTTATATAGCTAGTAGAGAAGATTTTGAATGTTTCAACAAGAAATGACTAATGTTTCAGGTGATGGATCTGTTGTTACTCTGATCTGACAATTAAATATTATATATGAATTGAAATATCATAATTTACCCCATAAATATGCACAATTATTATGTGTCAATTAATTTTTTAAACTTTACATGCTTCAAAAAAACTAATGATATGTAGGAAACAGAAATGAAATCAAGACTTTTTTTCAGAAAAGACTCATAACCTATAATACTAGCAGTCAACTATTTCTAAGAAAACACAATGTGGGGTAACATTTTTAAATCAAATTGAAAAGCCATCTTGCTATTGAAATTTTATATTTAGGAATCACAAGCAGAAATAACCCACACATCATCAAATTTGTTTATGGGATATTTTCTTTGGAACTCCATGGCTAACAGTCAGTGAAAACACTCTTACAATTAATGTTATAAAGTACTAAACCATGCTGTTCTTGTCAAATTGACTTTCTTAAAGTTCAGAAATTTGAAAAGCACTTTGGAATGAATTAAAATATATGTGAACTTGTACAAACACTGTGTAAATAATTTGCAAAAATACATAGAATTTCAAGGTAAATAATGTTAATGTTAAATCTCTGTACTTCTGTGATATTTGACTTTCCACAATAATAAACTGCAATTAACCATGTGGCTTAAAACTAATTTGTAAAACAAACATTGATTCAACATAGCTAGCTATAAGATTTGATATCAAATTAACAGTTTGTTAGACTCATTCAGAATACTTCCTGGGCCAGGAAGTATGACACTTGTTTCATATTTAAAATCTCTATGGTGCAGGTGGCAAAGATTTTCTTCCATTCTGTAGTCCGTCTATTCACATTCTTGTTTTTTTTTTTTTGTTTTTTTTTGCTATGAGGACACTTTTTACTTTGATACCACCCATTTATTGAATCTGGATTTTTCTTCTTATGCTTTAGGAGACTTGTGGAAGAATTCAGGTTCTAAGCTGACATGATGGAGGGTTGGACCTAAATTTTCTTCAACTAGGCACAGTGTCTCTGGTGTAATGCCTATGGTCTTGATCCACTAGGAGTTGAGTTTTGTGTAAGGTGAGAGATATGGTTCAATTTCATTCTGCTGCATATGGATTTCCAGTTTTCCCAGTACCACTTGAGAAGAGGCTATCTTTTCCACAAGCATGTTTATGGTGCCTTTGTCTAGTATGAGATAACTGTATTTATGTGGGTTTGTCGCTGTGTCAGATAGAGCATCAATCTCCAGGACATACAAAAAACCAAACAACCCAATGAATAAATGGGCAAAGGAACTGAACACACACTTTACAGGAAAAAAAAATGCATGTGGTCAACAAACACATGAAAAATGTTGAACATCTCTAGAAATTGAAGACATGCAAATTAAAACTATATTGAGATTCCATCTCACTCCAGTCAGAATAGTAATTATCAAGAATGCAAGTAACAATGTTGGCAAGGATGTGGGAGAAAAGGTTCACTCATACATTGCTGGTGGGACTGCAAATTGGTGCGACCACTCTAGAAAGCACTATAGATATTACTCAGATAATAACTTGGAATAAAACCACCATTTGACCTGGCTATACCACTCCTTATTATAAACCCAAAGGACTTAAAATTAGCGTACTGCAGTGATGCAACCACATTAATGTTTTTAGCAGCTCGATTAACAATAGAAATCTAGGGAACCAACAAAAGTTCCCTTCAACAGATGAGTGGATAAAGAAAATGTGGCATATATACACAATGAAATATTACTCAGCCATAAAGAAAAATGGAATTATGGCATTTGCCATTAAATGGATGGAACTGCAGACTATCATCCTAAGTGAAATAAACCAATCCCCATACACCAAAGGCCAAATGTTATAATATACAATGTTAACACAAAAGAAGCTGGGGGAGGAAAGAAAAGAAGTTCTTTGGAATGATGGGGAGGGAGGAGAGATGGGAATAGGAAAGACAATAGAATGAATTAGAGACAATTTTCCTATGTTCATATAGGAATACATGACGAATGAAACTCCACATCATGTGCAACCACAATAATGGGATCTTAATTAGAATACGTTATACTCCATGTATATCAAAATACATTCTATCATTATGTATATCTATAAAAAAACAAATAAAAAATTACAAAAAAGTATGAGTAAATATATTATTAAATTTCTATATAGTAAAAACTAAAGTCACACATTTTTGTGATATTACTTAGCATTTAATATCATTATTTGATGCATTTTATAGTAAATTAGTGACCTTTGTTAATGACTTCAAAAATTTGTGGTGATTGACATATGATTTCAAATACCCTGACAATCTTAACAAGCTATGTTCCCTCTGGGTAACCTTTCCAGCTGAATTTCAGCAAGGCTTATAGCTCCCTCAACAAAGACAATACAGTAGAAGTGACATAGTTTATTTTCTTTTTTTTTTTTAAGTAAAAAATTATACTCGTGTTTATTTTTGTTGACATCCTGAGGAACATAAAAACAAATATACTTGATAGAGAACATAATAGATTTTCTGGGTATCACTGTAACATTGTTTGGGGGAGACTTATTCTATTATATCTGATAATATGAAGAAGACATACCACATTTGCATCTTCATGCTTGAAGACTGAAGTCAAAAGTGTTGTGTTCTGGCATAAGAATCTCATTATCCTCTATTGACCTCCCTAGTTCCAGTGATAAGATTTCTTTTTATTTTTTTAAATTTTTTATTGTTGGCTGTTCAAAACATTACATAGTTCTTGATATATCATATTTCACAATTTGATTCAAGTGGGTTATGAGCTCCCATTTTTACCCCATATACAGATTGCAGAATCACATCAGTTACACATCCATTGATTTACATATTGCCATACTAGTGTCTGTTGTATTCTGCTGCCTTTCCTATCCTCTACTATCACCCCTCCCCTCCCCTCCCCTCCCCTCTTCTCTCTCTGCCCCCTCTACCGACATTCGTTTGTCCCCCTTGTATTATTTTTCCCCTTCCCCTCACTTCCTCTTGTATGTACTTTTGTATAACTCTGAGGGTCTCCTTCCGTTTCCATGCTTTTTCCCTTCTCTCTCCCTTTCCCTCCCACCTCTCATCCCTGTTTCAAAAACTATTGGAAAAGACAATTCATTCTCTCTCTCTCTCTCTCTCTCTCTCTCTCTCTCTCTCTCTCTCTCT